AGCCTAGACCCATCGGAGCAGCGATCCTAGTATTAACTATGGTGCCCCTAGGACATTATATACAAATTGTAATACCACTAAGTACTTTTCGAATACAAATCTCGTGTATGTTCCTCAAGTACCAATAAAACATTTTAAATATAAAGATAATCAAAACACATTTTTTTTGAAAAGGAGGATGTACCTCCGACCTCTGCATCTGGGCGATGCATGCAACCATTTTATTAATTATTCACAAAGTCCTTACAAAGGTAATACATCAGTAAATTTGAAGCCACCATCTTGGCAACACCTGCCGGTACTCCTATCCCTGTGATGAAAGGGTGCCGAATGTCCGAGCCTAATACCAAACAGACATCGCATCAACACCTAACATCTAATGCCTGATGCCCCATCCAAGCCCCATCCAATGCCGGATGCCCGTGCCCGACCTCCCCTCCTCTCCTCCCCGTTTCTCTAGGGCACATGTTGGGTCCTACATGCCATCATATACTCCCTCTATCTACTCCTTGAAAAGTTGACGTTTGTTGGACAACCACCATCTACAACTTTGACCCAACACAACAACAAATTCTAATAACATTATCAAAAATATTCTTCAAGAAAAATGTACGAACGCATATCAACTTCAAACATCCAATTCAAAACTTACAAATATGTAAATAATCAAACACACTCGACAACTCTGGTGACTTGAGTGCCGCAAGAAACCCTAGTCGCTAGCGCCAAGACCCTCCCATGTTGTCGACCTCAGCAATGGGCCTCATTCCTGCCCCCACTCCACCCTCGCTTCGTGGAGCCTGGCCCTGTCGGAGTGGCATGCCCCTAGGATATTACTACCTCCGTCCTAGTTTATTGGTCCCCTTAGTATTTTATGCCAAATTTTGACTAATGATTTAATTAACATAATGTTAATGCATGTCAGAAAAAATAGTATCATTGAAAATTATGTTCAAATACGAATCCAACAATATAGTTTTTGATGACATGCATTAACATTTTGTCGGTTAAATCTATGGACAAATTTTGGCACAAAATACGAAGATGACCAGTAAACCAGGATGGAGGTAACACTAACAAATTGTAATATCACCAAATACTTTTAGAATCTTGCATATGTTCCCCAAGTATCCAATAAACACTATAAATATAAAGATAATCAAAATGCAGGAACATGTCTAAAACGTATGCTTTTTGAGAAACAATTATACAACCTTGGATCCAGGTCAAGGTTAGCGATTTGCCACCACCCTCCTCTCTTACAAGGTTAAGATTCCAATTGTATTGTACTTATGAAAGTTAGACTTAGGTTCACCTTCATAACTCCAACTGATGTTTCTGTGGCCAGCGACGAAGGCATATATTGCATGTTGTACAAAGTAAATTCAATGGTGGGTCGATGGAGTGGGGGTCACAATGTGGTGATAGGTTTTGTTAATGCCAATGCATGGTGAGCCATCAGAAACGGTGGACAAGTTCACTGGCCACGGATTCAACAGAGATGTGCTTGTGTTGGGAAGGAGAGGGAAACTGTAGACGGGTGTGACCACGCGTCGAGCATCGGCCATATGGTGGGTGTTTAATCCAGCGGCCCATATATAGCTAGGAGGTTTATGTAATTATAATATTTCTTGATGTGCCTATGAGTACCTTAGCTTCTTGACCAAACTTTCGGCCCCTAACTAAACGCTAATGGTCGTAGTATTTTGGTCCAGTTCCATTCAAATCTTAACTTTATTGGTACGTGCGGCGGACGTGGTGAAATGTGTAGAAAATGGAGGGGAGGGGACGCTCGTGGGGTTTTGGGAGAAGGCGAGGGGGATGTGGATTTGGTTGGGGAAATCAAAGGGGATGTATGTTGTTTGCCCTGACCAAGACCAAAAGGTATTGTTGTTAACTAGGATCCATGTACGAGACGATCCATAAGCTTTGCCGTACGTTGAACGCTCCATGGCCTGCCTAGTGTATAGGAATTAGGACATGCATGCATGATACTAGTTGGCATGTTATTATTTTATATGCTTGATGGGTGTCCGTGGTTGACCGGTGGGCTCCACGACACTCATGGCTGACCCGTGAATATTCTTCTTGTCCTCTCTGTTATGCTCGTCTGCTCTCTCCAGTAATGAGTAATCATGGCGCACCAGCCAGCCCTACGTGTATAATCACCATCATGTTCTTCAGTTCATCACCTGAGTGCAACACAAATTAAGCATAACAAAAAAAGAAATCATAGAGTATGTAGAAGGAGGGACGTGCAGTGAATCATGCCACTTGATTAATTCTGGGACCCTATGCTACAAACAAATGAACCGAACGCTTTTCCTTTTTCATTTTCATTGGTGGGATGCATGCATTTATGTTACTCTACCTACGGTGATTTGTCTTCTTCCATACTAGGCAACCTTACCGGCTGGACGTAACTTGGTTGTTTGGTCCGCAATGTAAGGATGGAGTCGTCAGTGATGGCACGTATGCATGTCTAGTCCAAATTAGCATCCATGTGGGCTGGCGGCAACATGAGAAGCAACGCTATTAATTTCTCGCGTCTGCATGCCCAGTCCAAATTAGCATGCATGTACGTACTTGGCGACGAACACAAATTTTCTCTTATTTTTTGGTAGATAGATGGATTCAATTCAAACGTAGCTAGCAGTACTAGCTAGTACACTACTGTACATCAGTAGTACATCTCATGATCAAAGTTGTTGAGGAGTAGTACATTTTGTAGCTGGCTAGGTTATACTCCTAGGGGCGCTGTAGCTGCACGTACTAGTAGTGTAGCGCCTACTTGACCAAAAAGAAAAAATGCAT